CCACCTCCAACGCCTCTTGATTATAGCAAGCGAAATCGTGGACAAACGAATCTACTTACAGTCATGTCTGAATACACGATCAGTGGCAACGTCGACACGGACTATGATGAGTACGACTTCGACGATAGCTCTGAGCTGACCCCAGTGTCAAAAGACGGAGTTCTTAAAGTCAAATTCCAGGAATTAACACAAGTGGATTCGTTCGACAGGTCTGCTGAAGATGCCATAAAAGAACACTATCGTGGTGATCTAGGGACTTTGCTTAATGCTGAGGAGCAAGAGCGCTCGAATCGTCAGGGGCTTCTAATGACTCCGTCACAACCTCGAAAACGCTTTGGCAGACTTCGTAGTTTACCTCCTAAACCATTTTCACCGAAGTGGAGCATATCCACTGACCACATCGCAGAAAGCACTTGGCGAGATAGTGACATCGGTTTTGGGTCCTATGCGGAAGTTTGTCGTGGTACGTGGCTTGGAGCTTCTGTGGCACTAAAAAAGCTCAGAACGTTTGATCTCAAATCAGCCCAAAAACTTCGAGAAGAGGCCCACATTTGGTTTGCTTTGAGACACCCAAACATCGTCTGTTTGTTTGGTGCATGCACGAAAGGTTACCCGCTTTTTGTTTGTGAATATATCGATGGAAAAAGGCTTGACGAGTGTCAAGTAGGGGTTGAGGTCAGTAAGGAGCAGATGTGGGGATATTTGCATGACGCGGCGGTCGGGTTACAAGGACTTCATCTGCATGGTGTTGTCCATGCTGATCTCAAGGGTGATAATATTTTGATTGGTGCTAACGGTCGAGCGAAGCTGATTGATTTTGGGTTAAGCTGTCTACGAATGTGCGATGGAGGGGAACCTCGTGGTGCTTTACAATGGAAAGCCCCGGAATGTATCGCAGGTGCAGGTCCTACGTTTGAGTCGGATGTCTATGGCTTTGGAATGTGCATCATTCAGGCATTTTCTGGCCATTGTCCGTGGGGACGATGTCCGGATAATGCTGTCAAAATACTCTTGAGAAGTGGGGGATTCCCCAAAACACCGGTTACACTGAAAGAACTGGAATGGGAGGCTGTAAGGAAAATATGCTGCCAAGACCCGCAAGCTAGACTCACAGTTGACTTGGTGGTTCGTGTGGTTGGCTTCTTTGCGGGCCGCCAGCCGTATATTGACGACACTACTCTTCAGAAAGAGATAACTTCGTGGAAAAATGCCACTAAGTGACGCTAATCGTAAGGCCGGGCTTATTCTACTAAAGCATTTTTACACTATCGTGCGCTGCTGGTATACATGTATGTTAAT